CTTGTCCACCATTTCTATTAGGTTGGCGGGAAAGTTCTGTCACATTTTTCAAATTGGGCTTTCTTTTTATAGAGAGGCGTGTAAGATCAAAATTGTACAGCAATGTTACTGCGGGGTTCTTGCCAGTTTTTGAGCACCTCATGGATGCCATCGCTTCACAATGCAGGGAGGCGCGACGCAAAGTTGGACACCATCTCAATCTTGACTTGAACTCGGGTTATGGAGGTTTTCTCGTCCACATAACGATTGAGTACGGGAGGCAACTCGCAGTTAGAAGGAGCAATGTCTGTGCTACACCAGTGCAAGGGGAGAGCCATCCAGCTCTATTGCATGAGGTACGGCTCGAACTTTTTTGGACGGAGTGCGCTGCACTATCATGATGAGGGCGGGCTGTGCGGACAAATTTTTCCCTCTGATCGACGGTACGCTTTAGGAATGCTACTTTGCGTACGCATTGACCGAGGGAGCAGCTTCTTCATCCAGCACTTTCACGACCCGCAGCTCCCTCAATCTGAGTTCACAGGTAACCCAAACCTCACTTCGTCATCAAAACTGTAGGCTCCCGCTTTGAAGCATTAGCGTCGTGGAAGGTTGTCCGATAATTGAGGGCATCGTCTTTTTTCAGCTCCATTATTTTGGCATCTGCAGCTATCATGCTGGCGTCAGGGTGGTGGAAGAAAGAGTTGAGGAAGCGTCTGGAGGGGTCGGTGCCGATGGTAGCGGATAAAATCCTTGTCCATATTGCAGAAGAAGAAGAAGCAGGAGTCAGAAGCAGGAGTCAAGTTAGTGGTACTAATAGAAAGACCACTCCTTAATGTATTACCGCTTACCTCTCTTCAAGTAATGGGCAAGTATTTTGAGTTCGTAAAAGTGACAGAGCTTTCCCGCCAACCTAATGTGACTGCTCCCGTTCCTCGGCTTCACAGTCAGTAACGAATGCGCCACGTCCTCACAAGTGGGAATTGTGACATTGCCCCGCCCACTAAAACTCAACAGCAATTTTCTGTCAGTCGCCATTTTTACGCTGCGTTTTTTCTTTCTTTGTTAGAAGGGATTAACACTGGATGACGCGAAGAAACGTTTAGTGAGCCAGAGGCGGCAAGATATTGCTTTTCCGGCATACGAGCAGGTCCAGATACAGAAGCGCGGCCAAGTGGTCTCCCTCAATTCCTTCAGCCCCTGTCAAGATGCCGAACTGATATCTCGTGACGGCCCAGTGAGCTTTGGTTGTGTGACTAGAGACGATAGTTGGAACATTGTTCAGTGGTGGTGTTTATGAGTAGAAGGTTTTGGGGCTGCGTCCACACCTCGATGACATGGAGGCGAGGCGAAGAGGGAAGGGTCATCGAGAGACGTGGCACTTAGGCTGCGCTCAAGGTGCTGCTGGATACAACAGCTCCAATTCCTCATGCACATTTCAAGCAGCCGAGAATAAGAACTACATTCATTTCCATCAAATATCCCATTTGTAGGAACTTGATAAGAGCTTAATTTTGATGGGGAAATTCAATTGCTTGTCGGCAATCCATCGACTGGCGATGGAGGATCCCCGGTCGTGGTCCTCAAACCGAGCGATTGTATCGCGAAGTATGAACGCACTCTAATCAACACCTCCATGGAATGCGCCATGTACTCGACTTCCTTCCCGAACGCATCACCCCTCCTGCAAGCTATGTCTTTTCTATGTTCAGTACTGGTCTCTGCAAATACGACCCCTTGTCGCGGATTCTGCGACGCATGCTTGACCCTTGGGTCCACCCTCAGCCACAGTGCCCACTGCCTTTAAGAACTGTGAACATTGAGGCCCGTTTGCACCGACTCAGCCTTCCATATATGTCAGCTGGTTCCATGCTCGATAACATCGTACACTGAGAAAAAGTCATCGATTTCTTTCTGTGTCAATTTTCGCCTGAGCTTTCAATAACTCTCAAGAACAGTACTTTGTTTACCACATACGGCGATATCGATTTCGTAAGTAATGATGATAAATGTATAAAAAAATCAAATACAGACGTACACACGCACTGGAGTAACGTAATAAAACCGTAATCTGCAACTCAACATAGCCCGCTCTCAGAATCACAAACGATCGTGAATGGAGATGTGTGATCGATTTGAGAACTAGTAAACGCGCAATCTCACATTCAAATTGTTCGAGTGTACTGAGTTATGTGGTGGTGATTATGGTGGCTAACAATTAAACATAAGAAATCCTCTGAAGAGTATGAAAAGAAAAGAAAGAATAATAAAATGACAGATACATTTCATTGACGGTGTAAGAGCCTCTAATATGGGGCTGAGATGACTGGATGAAAAAAAACACCGTTGAACAGAAAAAGACTACAATTACTTGTGCACGCGACAAAAAAAAGCCTAGAAGAAACAGGAAGATGACACGAAAAAGAACTCCAGTAGAATGTGGGCAGCGTGGATAATTGTTTGCGATTTTTTTTGAGTATGTAGCGGCGATATATCCTATCATATTGACGAGCCAGCGCGTAGACCTAGGCCATAGGACGGTGTTATAATAATGTCTAGACCGTACTGTATTACAACTCTAACGCGCGTTGATGACTGATGTTTTGCTCGACAAAAATCAATGAAAAAAAAACACGACAATAAGTCGATAACGTCTAGACAACAACCCACAATAAACGCGTATTCACGACCGTAAACCCAAATCAAAACCAATAGTAGTCGTAGGCAAAACAGAATCTGAGCAGATCAGCATTACACAAAAGACAAGAGATAGGATAGAGTACACATAGCTAAAAAGCAATTACTGCTGAACTGAGGGAATGTCTAGCTCAAGTGAGTTATAAAAAAATATGGTACGATGCAATATTAACATTCAAAAAAGCTATAGTAGACTGGACGGGCTCCCGATAAAGCTACTTCATCGCATGTAACGTGCACCTAAAACGAACTAAAATCCCTCATTAATCAAGAACTCTTGACCTACTGTGTATACTGTGTAATCCTCAGAATGCTTCACAAAAATTTCAAATTACTGGACAAAATAGTAACATTTTTCCAACAATTTTGACGAATCCTTTTAGAAGTTCGAGGCAAGCGCCATTTATGCATGCGATCCCGCTTTGAGCTCCGAGCCGTTACTAACCAGAAGCGAAAACCAGAAGATCAACCTATGATTGTGGCATATATTGCAGGCAGGGGACATGGCTGGTCTGTAGCACGTTGGGACTTTCACAGTGCGATGGGTAGGGGGTCGTCTTGAGTCACTGGAGCAGGCGGGAGGTCGCATCTGGTCTAGCGTCAGCTAGTCCGCCCTTATAGATACAGTAGTGAAGGATAGGCAAGTATTCCTAGTGGAGTCCGCTAAGCTTGACCCAGAATGCAATATAAGAACGGCAGCATTCACTACGACGACATATGCCAGTTTGAAGACAACCTGTGCACACCTCCATGGGTGGTCATCCATTTACGAGGTGAATGGGTCTGCAGCTGCAACAGTGCGCCATTTTCTTCGCTCAAAGATGCACGGAAACTGGGCTGGAGACTGAGGACGTTCGGGTATGTGAAGAGAGAATCGTAATTCGCCGCGCTGATGAGCGTCGCGTGCGACGTCGCGCCCACAAATGACGATGATTCCAGGTCGCAGATGGCGACAGTAGGCATTGCAGAAACCAAGGTAGTCATGAAAGTCTACAGTTCTTAGTCCACGAGAAATCGGGTGCTCCAATCAACTGGCTAATACGAGTTGAGAAAACGTCGTGCCCATCGTCGCGCACGGCAGAGCGGCAAATTACTATTCTCTTGCCCGGCTCCCAAGGCACCCGGTGTCGGCTCCGTAGTTGCCCGCGCTATCCTCAAGAAGCACTACTTGCGCCTATGCAGAGGTCCCACAGCGAAACACATACTTAGCAGTAGAGAACCACCGAAAGTAAGAGGGCGCAGACAAGTAGCGCGTTTGGCCACGATTATGCGTGTGGCTGGCCGAGCGACAGCGAGAGGCGAATGACGGAAGCGGTAACGAAGTGTCACTACACTTCAGCCCCGTTCTCTACAAGAACTGAGCGGAAAAAAAGTGGCATGCTACTGCAGCTGAGATGCTATTTACCTCACACATGGCAAGGATCAGGATCCACAGAGGTAAATGTGCAGGTTGTATTCAGATTCTCCAGTGGTAACACATTACAAAGTTCTGTGACGGACGATAGCTTCCACCCTTCTCTGAACACACTACAGCAGACTATTGGTCTGTGTGCTAGTGAGCTGCTTGTTACACTTTCAGTTATTGCTCCTGTGTATTAGGCAGCGTTCAAACTTCGCGACGGCAGCGCTTTGGTCGCGCGATTCGACGATCGATGCGCATGCTTTCGACTGCATCGATCGCGTCGAACGCGTAACCGAAGCGCTGCCGGCGCGAAGGGCTAATGCCGTTTGGACTCCAGAAATTTCGGCTCCGAGCTCATTTTAAAAGTGGCAAGATCACCAAATCCGCTAAAAACTTGTATATATTCAACATCCTGATCACGAATATGACATTCATTTTTGGCGCTGGCGCTAATGGATGACACTACGGTTACCTGCGCTCTGCTAAGGCTGAGCCCAGGAGGTAATCGTAGTCCTCTCTTGGCGCCAGCGCCAAGAATGAGTGTCATACTCGTAATCAGGATGTTGAATTACCCCTATATACAAGTTTTTAGTGGATTTGGTGACTTAGGCAATTTGAAAATGAGCTCGAAGCCGAAATTTCTGGAGTCCAAACGGCATTAGCCGTCGCGAAGTCCGAACGCTGCCTTAATCATTCGACTCCCAAGGCTCTGCAGAAAATTTTGAATGTTGCTCGAAATAATTTGTTTTCGGATGTCCACACGTTTCAAACTTGTCCAAGAAATTCTGACCGAATGTTCAAGATGAGAGATATTGATTTCAGCTAATGCCCACTCAACTATATTTGTATTCAACTATATTTGTAACTGCTTACGTCAGATTTATCCCAATAAAGTCTTAGTAAATAATAATAAATAAACATACTAGTTCATACTGAAATCAGATTGCGATAGCGATCCTCGTGAACTGCTATCATCCATATCGGACACTAAAAACAAACTTACCATAATAAAATAACGCAACATATCTAATGGGGGAACAAAAGCATTTTTACAAAGAGCTGCTACCCGCTAGTTAAACAGAAGTATCATTTCTCCCCACGCTCCCACCAACGGTCAGATAAAGTTTGTCAGAACGAAAAAGTGTATTCTGTTGCAACTGTAACATGAAGAAAAAACAAAAAAAACAGGCAAAACAACCAGAATTGAACATACCATTGCCATCGGCATGACGAGACGAATGCTGAGGAACGCATGGTGGCCCCATCAGGTCTGGTCGGATAAGCGAGGTCATGGAATCCATTTTTGTCGAAAACCTCGATACAGCCACTTCAATATTTCTGTAAAAAATTGTCAATACTTCAAAAATCTTTCCTCTGTATGGATGGACACTCCTTTTCTAAAAGCGTTCAGTACCACTGTAAGAAATGCAAAAATTCGCAGTCAATCCCGATTTCCGGGCGACTGCACTACACATTACATCGCTAGGGTTGCTCCTACCCTCTCAGCTTGACAGCAGATAGCGCACTATCCCGGAAAGCGTGAGGAGTGGACTCGTGTCCCGTCTGGGGTCAAAACTTCTGCCCACTATTTAGCTTGAGTAGGAATCCCTTTTTTAGCAGATTAGCCGTATTTCAGAATTTCGCATTCGTTGTGTTTAAATGCTACAAGAACACGAGAAGATTGCAGTTAACTTAGATTTTTTTAATTGGCATACAATATTGAAAATAGCAGTGAACGTTTATCAAACGAGATACGTAAAACTTACCGCGACATTTCGTTTTTCTCTTTGCGTAAGGTGCTAATAACATCTTCGAGCTGACGAATTTGAGCCGCTTCTGAAAGTACATCGATCGAGTGACACCAAACATTGATTGCTACTGGGCATTAGGCATTGTTCACAGTCTGCGGTCCAGCGTTTCTCTGGAACGCGCGGTTCGGCGAAAAGCTTTCGATACGTATCGACTGGCGGTTGGGCGAAAGGGTTTTGATACGAATCGACGGGCGTTTCGCCAAACCGCGACGTTTTTCGCCTTCGACGAAACGCTAGCTCGATCGCCCTGGCGTTTTTCGCCAGCGAAATCGATACGCATCTATTGCTTTTCGCCCAACCGCCGAACCGCGGCGGTTCGGCGAAACTAGCGGTTGGCGATTCTCCGATCGATGACTATTTTTTGCTTTTCTCCCAACCGCCGTTTCGTCAGGGTCGCAGACTGTGAACAATGCCTAGAGAGAATTTTATGAAAAGGTATAAAAGAACTGTGGAATAGAAACACAAAAGAATAAAATCGCTCTACGCGTAAACTCACTGTTTGAGTCTCTTTCTCGCATCTCTGCCAACTGATGCTCCACGCGCCTGAGGTGTGAACGCAGCCTCGCAACCTCAGAACCGCTGCGATTACCGCTTTCCATAGGGCCACGCTCATTGTTTTCACTGCAACAAAATCGACGGTTATACAAATTTTGAGCTTCGGTGTTGCGGTGAAAACATTTTACCATACAGGAGTCATCACTATGCCGCACTTAGCAACAAGGAATTACTTGATTAATTAAACAGTTATTTTCCTGGAATACTTCCCCGGGTGGTAGAAAAGGAAACCAAGAAACGATGGAGAGAAAGGAAATGGAAAAATGAAATAATACTCATAGTTGTCTACAATTTCTGTAGATTAAATTGCAAAATAGAACAACTCCAGCAGCATGAGAAGTGAGAAAGTTTGAATTCATTCAACGAATTTTCAAGCCTTAATAAAAAAATCCTGAACCTATCAAACAATAGAAAAGGAGTTCATACGAAAAATAATGGAAGATACAGCTGAGCAAGAGAATCGAAACAGTGGTAAACCTGTACCTTTGGTTGATAAGAGAACCAACAACATCATCATCAGGCTCGATGAAACCATTCAAATAGGCCTTTTGAAGGCTCGCCTGCATCTTTCTAAATCACCCACATTGAGGTTACTTTCCAATACTGATTTGACTAGAAAGAATTATGCAGTCCTGTTCGCTGCAGATGAAGAGCCTGCTCGGCGGAATTGCACTGGCGCAGCGCCTAACCCGTTTCCCACCAGCTGTTGAAGCGAGCAAGCGAGGAAAGACAATCGTATCGGTCGTATTGGTCGTTTTCCACCGACTGTTGTCGCCTCCGATTCAACGACTGGAGGAGGACGGGTTTGGCACCGCGCCAAAACCATCCCGGCAAAGGCGCACCTCCATTTATAGCGAACAAGACTATTTCCAAACGCGAGGAATATCCCACCTTTTCTCTTGGTTCAATTGATCCATTTGCTTCCCGAGAGTGTTAAACAAAAGCTCTTGCTCGTGTTCAAGGGCATTTTCTTGATCGATTTTCTCCTTGCGCATACGATCCATATTCTGAATACGACTAAGTTAGTTACTAGGTAAGGTGCCGGTTCAGAGAAAAAAAACCCTGGAAAGCTGTTCACTTTTCGACCAGCAGCCATTTCGCTTTCCATACGGCGAATTGTTGTCAGAAGGCTGTCGATCACGCTGGCCTGCTCACTTTTGACATTTCCTTCCAGAACATCACGCTCGGATTGTAACTGCAAGAGGAGGTGAAATCTTAGCCCTACTGGAAAAAGCAGTCAGGATTAGTATGCACACAAATTTACGCATTACGTTCTGACTGAAGCAACAGGTTGATGCTTAACTTTGCTTGCTTTCTATCAAGGTAAATTGCCATGGCATTCGAAATTCCTTCCTCTCTCTTCATTCTTTCGCCCTCCACTCAAACGTATCCCGCACGCCGTCTAAGAAAGGGATGGACACGTCCGCAGCTGCAGAACTGTGCCACATTCGACACTCAAAACAAACAAGACTGGAGACCAGTTCCGGCTTGATATTCCTTTGCGACTTTGCTCGCTCTCTACGTGTAGCCTTTGTGTCGCTACCACTGTCCCGCAACGAACACGCTGCCAACCTGTCGAAGTACGCAGCGAACCCAGAGAACAACTAGACGTGGGAGGGGGCAGACACTTAGCGCGTTTTTTATTACGCGCATGGCAGGTGGTGCGGCGTGTTACCCCAATCCGTTGCGGCGGCGGTTACACATTGGGTTAAAGGCAGTTGGCACGATAAATCCCCAAGACGAGTAGGATTAATACGCCTGGCAGGACGGAATTCCGCGACCCTGAGCAGGCGCTGCATAATGCCTTTTCCAAGGGAGGTGCCCTTATAAGGGCCCTATCAAGCCACAACATACCGACCCAAACGCCCGCCACGCCCGCCCGCCCACAAATGGACGACCGTTCCTGACGCTCTAATCGATTCATTTGCAAATTATGAAGCGAAGGGATTGGTATTATGAAGCGCGGTGGAGCCGTTGATGCTGCATGATATATGAGTACCTCATAGCATCCGTCACCTTCGCTAGTGGTTATTGGAATATGCTTACAGGAACCCGTCCAAATCACCCCATAATTATTATTCGCTTCAACCTGTTGTTTGTTTGTTTGTAAGTTTGTTTGTCTGTCGGGAAATTCGGTTCGACCTGAAGAACGACTTAGAGAGGTCGGGTCAAGGTGGGGATGGGTAGAGATGGACAGAAACAAAAAGCACACTTGACCTATGCGAAGCCCCGCCCACAGTGGGCGGGGCACTCGCTGAAATTTTGGGGTTTCACAGAAAAATGTTCATAATTCGCTTCCGGAGCAGCCTAAGATGATGAAACAAGGGAATAAGGTTAGTAAGGAGTCGCCAGACTAACTGTGGCAGACACATCCAAAATGGGCAGGGCGTACTCAAGGTGGGCGATGCTTCGCATACCAGTAAACCTCGTTTCGGAGCTTGTTAGAAGCCTGCAAAAAGCTCAGTGCAGATGTAGAGATATCTGGCGAGTATTGGGCATGTTCAAGAATGTTGAGATCGCCAAGTGGGGCGCACGTCTTGCTCTAAACCGCAGGATACTAACTTTGAAAGTTTGTAGTTCGGTTGCAGAGCACTTCAAAGACCGGAAAAACGTGCGGCAAGGTCGGCAAAGGTTCGCTCGGTGGTGACTGTGGGCAAACAACATCATGTTGCGGGGCGGAGCCTGCTCCGAGGTGGGCGGAGCCAGACAAAAAGGTCTGTAAAACGGTTCCAGAGCACTCCGAAGACCGGAAAAAAACGTGAATTAAGGTCAGCCCCCGGTGCCCCCAGGCGGTGAGATTGTGGGCATACGGAAATAATTGAGGGCGGCCAGCCCGAGTGGGCGGAGCCAGACAAAAATTCTCCAAAACTCTCCCAGAGCACTCCGAAGACCGGAAAAAGTGGATTAAGGTCAGCAGAGGGTCGAAGGTGAGGACCGTGGGGCAAAAACGTTGTGGGCGGAGCCTGCTTCGAGGTGGGGAGCCAGACAAAAGGGTCTGTAAAACGGTTCCAGAGCACTCCGAAGACCGGAATAAAGTGAATTCAGGTCAGCAAGGGGTCGCCGATTAAGAAATGTGGGGTATACATATTGTGGGCGGGGCCAGCCCGAGGGGCGGAGCCAGACAAAAATTCTCCAAAACTCTCCCAGAGCACTCCGAAGACCGGAATAAAGTGAATTCAGGTCAGCAAGGGGTCGCCGATTAAGAAATGTGGGGTATACATGTTGTGGGCGGGGCCAGCCCGAGTGGGCGGAGCCAGACAAAAATTCTCCAAAACTCTCCCAGAGCACTCCGAAGACCGGAAAAAAGTGGATTAAGGTCAGCAGAGGGTCGCCGTGAAGAGTGTGGGGCACAAAAATTGTGGGCGGGGTCTGCTCTGAGGTGGGCGGAGTCAGACGAAGAATCTGTAAAATAGCTCAAGAGTACTTCAGACACCGGAGAAAAGTGGAGTACAGAACAAAAGGCGGATATCAGTTGAGTCTAGAAATATGTGAGAGAAGGTACGCGCGGCGAAGCCGCGCCCGCCCGGCGCAGCCGGGCCGTATCAGAAGGAGCCGCGCCGGCGTCAGCCGGCGAGGCGACTGGTTGATTTATAACACATTGAGAACGGAGGCTCTTTCTTCGCAGGATTTTGACCGTTTCACTCCGTTCTTTCGCCATTTCCCCACTATATAGCGCCTACTAGCATTTTAGCCGAGCACCAAATCATCGTGCCAACTGCCTTCAAAGGTAAAAGATATTCTCATTGGCAGCGGTGTTCAGGAGTAATTCTCCTATTACCACTACAATTTTTTTGATTTAACTTTTTGTAATCCGCTTCGACAGTGTCTTATACTCAATATTCCCTCAGTTAGTTTAGCCTGTTAACAACATCCATTTTTCTTCCTCTTACACCTATTTAGTATTCACATCGTGTTATATCCTTTCATTTTTCTGCACAATTCCTCATCCTATTTGAATGAATTTTGCATGTGAACCTTTTTTCATATTTTCTCTCGTTTTATCCTATTTCTCAACTCCTTCCCCTATGTAGTCCATGTCCTCATGTCGTCAACCCTGTCGCACTGACGAGCCCGGGGTTGGCTAGACAATGATGATTCGTCTGCGATAACCGGGCGAAACGGATCATCTGTGCTTTGGAGTGTATTCCTTTCCCATGTTTTGTTTTTCTTTGCTTCTAATTGGGATTATGAAAACATGAAGTGTTTTGTTTTAGAATTTTTTTAAACGTAGAGCAAATACGTTGGGAAGCGGACGCTGACATAAAACGCTCTTTCCGTCAAAGAAAACGCTCTTTCGTTAAATTTCATAAGACGAATTAGTGAACTACTTCATATCCTTTCTCGGAATGGCAGGACATAGCAACTCGATGGTCGACTATATTTGGACATTCAGCTGCTTTTATAAGAACAAAATTTATTATCATATTATGGAATAAAATGAATGACGCGCCAAATTACGGTGATAGGAAACAAGTCAAAACATAACTCAAAGGCAGTGCACACGATGGTCGAGGGCGTTCGGTTGCTGCCAACGCGACTGGTGAGAAGGGTACGAGAGGTGAGAGCGCGTTTAGCCACGCCCCATTCAGTTCTCGCACCAATGGTGTTAGAAGTAACCGCCCGCCCCCAGCTATAGTGCCCGCTGCCCTTGAATCATACATCAACCCAATACTTCTCTAAAAGCATGACACACATCTTGAGCGCATGAAACTGTTTTGAATGCTAGCAATTAAAATATGGCCGCCGTGATCAAAATAGCAAAACCATAAAAAAATTAAAACACAGAGAGATGGTACAGACAGTAATTCAGATTACCTCAAGCCGCAAATTATCCATGATAGAAAGGTTTAACCCGTGCGGCTCTTTCCCGCGGTACTTTAATACTATTTATGAAGAAATACCAGTTGCACAAGAACATCTCAGACTGTTGACCGTTGCGACCAGTTGCACAGTTGCATGCACTCAAGCAGTAATGGCGGCGCTAGGGTCACATACTGGGGCATTTGGTGCAGTAACTCATCGGGTCACGGTAATCGCAATTTTGCATAACGGCTTTCTCAGAGCTGTAACCTTCCTTTAAGTGTATTTTCTACTACTCTTTCTGTTGTAAGACAATTGTTACTTGAAATTGCGTAAAAAATGATTGCGAGCCAGGGGATGAGGATTTGCGCCTAGGCATGAGGATGAGGAAGGAACACCATGGGAGGAGCGCTGCACCCACCTGAGCTCTTTGGCACCTAACTTACGCAGCAAAAGCTTCTACTGACCGTTTCCAGTTCGAAAAATGTTAGCAGTGGTTTTAAAGGCCTGACTTAAAATGCTTCAGTATGTCACATCAGCGCGGTGGCAGTCACATCACCCTATGGTGGTGACTTCATGGTAAAACTGAGACTATGAGACAACGGACTGGAGCAGCACCACAGCGTTTACTAGGATCCGCTATTTCAAAGCATGAGCTACTGACTAAGACTACTCGTAAACAATTTGACAGTGACTACATCTCTTTAGCTCTACAGCCCGTTGCATAGTTTTGCTTTGTGAGATTTGTCGCAACATATCGTGTAAATGCGTCATCCGGGCAGTTGATTATCCGGCCCAAATGACGCGACGCGGCTGCAGCGCGTCACGATCGCTGCGATCAGCTGTTTCCACCCTAATTTAGCAATTTTCTCCCTAGTTTTCACTGTTTTTGGCTGTTTTTTTCAAGGTCATTTGCTTTATTGCCTATATGACGTATATAACGTCAAGGATTCTTTTTTCTTGTAATGGAGTGTTTTTCGCGATTTTCTTAGGTGTTTGTTTAATCGTCCAACTGTTCGCACAAGTTAAAAAAACTCAATCATAATTTACCTTGTGAAGACAAGGTAACAGTTACCCTTGAAAAAAACACCAAAAACAATTGAAAAAATAGGACAGAAATGACTAAAACCAGTCCAATATCGGGTTTTTTTTTTTTTTTTTTTTTTTTTTTTTTTTTTTTTTTTTTTTTTTTTTTTTTTTTTTTTTTTTTTTTTTTTTTTTTTTTTTTTTTTTTTTTTTTTTTTTTTTTTTTTTTTTTTTTTTTTTTTTTTTTTTTTTTTTTTTTTTTTTTTTTTTTTTTTTTTTTCGCGCAAACATTCATACGTATGCGTCGCTGTTGCAGGCCACGGGCATCGCCCATTGCTTTGTGGCATCATTTCTGAAAAATCAACCCATGATCCCATCTTCAAGTACGACCCCCCCCCCCCATGTTACCTCTTCCCTAGATTTTTCCAACCTCCTGCCACATTGTCTATTTTTTCCCCAAAAAGAATTTCTGGTTTTTTACAAAATTTTGCCGTGTTCGAGCGGGGGGGGGGGAGGGGTGGAGGTTCGCAAGTACTACTACGTCCAAGCACGTCCAGCCACTCTGGCGTTTGCTGCTGCCATGCTGACAATACGTACGAGGAAGGGGCGATGATAGGAGCTACGATCACCGCCCAAAGGGCACCATGAATTTATAAACAAACAAAGGACTCACGACGTGACGATTAATAAACAGATGAAAGTACATTCCCGGACTTTTCTGATCGTAGGAGCACATTTGCTTGCAATTGGGAAGCCCTATCTAGAAGTTACACCTTTCAAACACCTGCGTGAAAGCCCCATGCATGGCGCATTGCACAGGTGATGCCAGTTGGGCGCCCATAGACTTTATATTCCTAATACCTTTGCGAAAACATGTGTTGTGATCATTTCCTGAAAATACGACTCCTTCTGGCACTGATTCCATCTTCAAGTAGAACCCCCTCCCCATGTTACCTCTTCCCTAGATCTTTTCCAACCTCCTACCACTTTGTCTATTTTTTTCCCAAAAAAATTTCTTTTTTTTTTACAAAATTTTGCTGTCGAGCGGGGAGGGGGCGAATGCCGCAGTGCATGTGCGTGAGTCCCAGAGCATACGTCAGCACTCTGGGCGCTGGTGTAGCATACTGACGAGGAAGGGGCGATGATAGGAGCTACGATCACCGCCCACAAGGGCACCATGAATTTATAAACAAACAAAGGACTCACGACGTGACGATTAATAAACAGATGAAAGTACATTCCCGGACTTTTCTGATCGTAGGAGCACATTTGCTTGCAATTGGGAAGCCCTATCTAGAAGTTACACCTTTCAAAACCTGCGTGAAAGCCCCATGCATGGCGCATTGCACAGGTGATGCCAATTGGCGCCCAATAGACTATTTCCTAATACCCTTTGCGGAAACATGTGTTTCAGAAGCATACCAAGCCAACTGGAGGGGTTGATTTTTGTGTCGTGGGGGGGGTGGTCACGAAATGATCACAACGGGGAATTTTTTCGAATAGCAGGCCTAGGAAGAAAATTAAAGCCTTGCTGGAAAGTAGAAATCTTCAAGCTTCCGGCACAATTCTTTTTTTTACGAAAGGCCGTGTATGAAGCTTGCCATGGACGTCCAAAGCGTAGCGACTCGCGGTTCGCAAAAATGATCACAGACGGATCACAACGATGATCACAACGGGGAAAATCTCTGGAATCGGAACGTTTTTGAAATCGCTCAATTCAGGTGACAAGAGCCAACCTAGCTCTACTCATTCCCACTTACCCCTCTCCGATAGCTTCACTTTCAACGAAGTTATGGGTGTTCAAATGAGGGGTACTTTTCACGTGTTTGGCTTGAAATTGGCTCCAGGCCGTAAAATAGCGCGCACCAATGAGCTTGTATGAGCGCGCTGACCGCGAACAGCCAAAATTCAAAAGTAATCCATAGTTCCGGTTCCCAGCTGGCCGGTCAGTTTTTTTTTTCTTATCCATTTGATTGTGAATTATTTTGATTGTTTGTTTTTGTTGAGTTTGATTTTGTTGTGAGGAAATTGCTCAGGATTCAATTTCTACGGTTTCATAGGTAGCTTTTGCAATGGATTCTTTTCTAGATTTTGCGGATTAGTGGATTGGGATTTATCTAGACCAGATGAGGAGGGTTGGTGGGCGAAGTGTCTTGAAGTTTTTTTGTGAGGAAGGAGGAAAAAGTTTCAGCAATATTTTTTTAGTTCTTGGCCTAGGAATAGTTCGATAGTGCCTAGTTCTATTTATTGTCATCTACATCGTCCCTTTTGAGCTTCTTTTCACTTGTACCGTGTATCACCGCTCTCTCCACTTCAACATGGGCCATGCGTTTACGACCCCCCCCCCTCCATCGCGGGCAAATACGACCCCCCTGTTGTGATGATCACAAAGATGGCGTGCCCTGGTTGCAGCCGCGTCTGCGGCCCGTTGACGGCAGCCCTAATCAGGTGCCCGGATGACGAATGTATATCGGAGGGCGGCAAGGGGCGTACAGCTGCGTACCGGTGCCGACTCCCCCTACATGCGATTCTGCTTCTAAATTACCGAAGCCTGCCATATTCACAGCCGCGCCTCTTGATGCTCTCAGATATGGATTGTGGCAACCCAAAATGTGGGTAGTGACTAGAAATCCTTTGTTTAGGCAAACACTCCATCTCCCGAAGAGGCATGATGTGCCCTCCTCATCTCCGGAATATGAAGTGTATGAACGGAAAGCAAGGAAGAAAAGGAAAAATGCAGTAGTAGGACTAGCGAAAAGCGTGCGGGACGAAACCACACTAAGAAAAGGGGCCATGTTTCGGGAGGATATAGTCATTAATACTTTACGACGTCTTCGAGGCTTCGAATCTCTTGAACAATAGTGTACAACGCCACTTCGAACTTTGACACCGAGCGAAACGGATCAACTGTGTTGTGGAGTGTATTCCTTTCCCAATGTTTGGCTTTCTTTGCTTCTAATTTAATAGCCTATCAGAAAAGGAAGTTGGAAGTAGGTGGAAGTGGAGGTCGAGTTCTGAGCCAGGCTAATGAGCTGACCGCAGCACCTTGGCAAACTCGCTCAAAGGCATACCAGTCGCACCTTATGCGGTGAAGAAGTCTCATTAGCATGCGGCGTCGCGGAAATCGCAGGTCCCGCGTCCTCTGCTATTCCCCAGCCGATACATAAACGATTTCTTTCCCCAGGAGCAGATGACATAGGTCATTAGCTATAAACTGGCCTAACAGCAAATGAATCTGCGCTTTCTTCATATATCACCACTGCATTTACAGTAGCACATGAACGCTACTTTAAAATACCACAATAACGCTGAGTTATAGGCAAAAAACATTCGAAAGGCAAGTCGGCCTTCAGAATCAAACAACTACGGTCACCTTTTCATCAGTGTGAGGTCGCGATAGATCTCTTAGGGCACAACTATGTAAGGGTTTAACGACAATAAAAATCACTAAGCCTATTCTCGGATGGCTACAACAACTGAGACCGCACCTGTACGGCACCGAAAACTGGTAGAATCACGGATAATGTCGAGGATATCGACCTGATTGTAGCCCCTGGCCGAGCACGATTCTGCATATGGTATCATAAAATAGTGCTTCCTTCGCCTGACGGAAGAAATAAGACTAACACCTGAGCGTGAAACTCGCCCCCACTAAGAAAAGATGGAGGTCGAAGAGACCTTATGCTGTGAGGTGCACACTTAGGGTAAGTGACAAGAGAATCGTAATTCGCGACGCACGTCGCACCTGCAAACAACGGCGGGTCTCGGTTGTAGATGGCGACACAGGCAATTCAGAACCGAAAATAGTCATGAATGTCTACGATGACGGGGTCTACATGAAGTCCGGTGCTCCAATCGACAGGTTAACACGAGTTAAGAAAACGCCGCGCCCATCGCCGCGCGCGGCGGAGCGGCAAATTACGATTCTCGTTGCCGGTCTCCTGTTTCTAGACTGTGTTATCGGTCTCACATATCTGCTGCGGACCCTTATGAATGATGGTACTGAGGTTTTTCAGGGAAAGAAATAATCCATAGCGTAAACCTGCTTCCAATGAGGCACTGTAGCATAGCGTTATGTGGTTGGCCTGATGCTTGCAATTCGATTATAATTTGATGCAATTCGTCTCACACTGGGATCAATTTTGAACGCTGTTCTTTGACCGGGGAGGGGGGGGGGGAAGAGAAGGGTGGGTAGGGCATTTCGCACTTTTACTACTTCTCATCACGTTCCGAGCCATCGAGTAGACCTGTGATAACTTGTAAAGCACGAAACTATACCGCTTAAGTTTGCAGCGACTAATGGTCAACTCTTGTAAGGAGTACCAGTCGACTCTTGTAAAGCAATGAAATACCACAAAAAATACCATCCACCAGGATGTCTCGACGAGCTTTCGTCAGTTTAACAAGGGTTAATAGGTTTCACCAGAGCAAGTTGTAAACTAGAAGTAGTGAAGGTGCGGCAGGGCAAAATGCACCCCACTCCCGTTGCTGGAGCCTAATTTTATGCTTGATATTCGGTTTGTGTGGGTGTGTTCTTCCTGGAAAAACTACGTAGCTTTGTTCAGAGAGGTCTCAGAGACACACCAGTGGATATCCTTATCATTCAAACGGCCCCCTCGAGCTACCGTGCTTCCCTGGTAAACTCCAACTAGCAAACATTTTGTTTTGAACCATGGTCAGGATGAGAAATGCTTTAAAAAAAGTCGCAAATGACCCAGCGAATCTTCCGTTGGCAGCGTTCAGAATTCGCGACAGCGTCGATCGTCGCGCATGCTGTCGACGATCGATAGTGAAAAGCACGCGCAATCGATCGCGTCGAACGTGCGACTGAAGCGCTGCCGTCGCGAAGTCCCTAGTGCCTTGCAGGCTTTCTACGTTAGGTGTTGTTACGATAGTGAATGGGGTTCTCTGAATGCAGCGAATTACAGCTGACATATACCAGTATTTCTCCAAAATTGCAAACCTGCTTGATTTTTCTCATCAAATCATTCGTTAGAAACTCTTCTTCCTGTTCATATTTCTGAGCTAAGGTCTCCTTGTCATTCTTCAGCTTTTGAATCCTGAAAGTAACAGCGGTAAATATTAATAGGCTAAAAAGGAAAAGAAAAGAAACTTGACTAAAGCATACAGTACATTTGAAACGAAAGGATCCGTTGCTGGAAACCTGGACTTATAATTGCGGGCGATGCAGCTTTGCCAAGGCAGTGATAGGAGCCCTTCAGCGCTATCTAGCTGGTATGATATTTCAGAGGAGGAAACCACGTATATACCGCGCTTCTGTTATGACAAAAAAAACCAAAGGATAACGGAGGAATCACACGGAAACATGTAACGGCCCACATTCCATCCTCTCCCCGATGTCACGGGACATTCAACCAATTGCATTCCCCTCTCTTTCGTCTCAGCTGACAAAACTCTCCCAAGAACCCAAGCTTTTAGCGTTAGCACTTACTTTTCCTCTTAACCTAACAATTCCCTAAGAGAGATCTTGCAGTTTAAAACCTACCAAAAGTTTTCTCCAAAAAGTATGTGACGCCCAATTGGACCATATATCAAAAATGGGATTCAGAAAAAGCACTATATAGTTCTAGCATTATTTTCTGCCGATAGCTATCAAACTATACCACCACGACCCAGTGAGTAGAAATAATGGAACTCGTATTCAGTATAACCACAAATCTTACTCTGTACCAGAATTTCGGTTTTTATTACTGGGACGCCAAAGCTGGGAAAGCACGAATGGCGTGTCTATGTCTGCTCAGTTGTTCCAACCCAACGAAAAAGTTACTTGATCCTCGACAGATACTTCAGAGGGGTGCTGACCAGTGTGAGGCCCGGCGTCACCGCATGCTACGGTAATTGGCTAGAGCATCGTAATTCGCCGCACCGGTGGGCGTCGCGTGCGACTTCGCGTCCGCTACTGACGACGACTTTACTTCGAGAAAAGGCAATGTATGACAGAAAATAGACTTCATTCTCCACCATATCCTTGTCTACATAAAATCCGATGCTCCAATCGAAAGGGTAGTGCAAATCAAAGAAACGTCGCGCCCATTGCCGCGCGCGACGAAGCGGCAGTTAACGATTCTCCTGCTCCCGCATACCCTCGCCCTTCCACAAAACCCTTCCTTCTCACCATCCAAACGCTTCTTCCAGGATATGGGCCAAGAATTTGATTCGCGGGCAGAATGCGTCTGCGTTGGGAAGAATTTTCAAACATGTGACACCCCTAAATCTGCTTTTCCATACTACCCCTATCTTAAACCTACTCCCCCCCTCGTAGCTCTTAACATCAGTATTCTGTGTACAGCGGAGGGAAGGAGGGCGTTCAACTACGGCTAACTAGCGAAAATAGTAGATTTGGAGTGCCAACTAAGAGATAAGGAGGAGGGTGGGGGGGGGGAGCGAGAGAGAGAAGCGACAGGGCTTTCGTGAGCCGGACTTTCACTCGCTGCGAGAGCCAAAAGGTGTTCCTTCATCAAGTCTTCTGCACGTGCTGAAAATAAGGTAGGGGGGTAGAGAGAAGGACGGTGGGGAAAGATGGGAGTAACACAAAGGGAAGGAGGAGGGAGACTCCGCGATAGATAGATATCTTGAGACTATGAAATGGTAGTACAAACCGCATGCAAAACGGGAAAAATCAACAGTCAACACGATCTCTTCAAATATGACCCCTCCCTCAGAGAACCAGATACGAAGAATTCCCGAAACGTCTGATGTGCTCCGATGATAGTGCATACATTTTCTAGCGATGCTGCAGCAAGGACCAATCAATTTTCTCTGAATCTATTGGTGACCTTATGTCTTTCGTTGAAAGTACTGCATACTGATGTTTTAAACCAGTCACTATATGAGATACCGACAGCATTACTTCATTACATCGAATAAAATCAATAGTTGTAATGCTATTCACTGGCCTCTTCAGCAATATATTCGAAATGTACTCTTCTTCTTGTTCGGCTTTTGCATAGATCTTCACATAAGTCTCTTTAATCTGTTTATTAACGCTGAGAAGATTGTCGTAGTTCTTTTGCATTTCACGAAGTTGACGCTGAAATCGAACGGATGATTGTCCCTAATAATTTAGCGGTCAGGCAAAAACGAATGTGGCTCAATAAAAGATAAGACCACTCCACCTCTTGTTTGCGGCACCTTTTCAGCAATTCTACTGCTTCCGCATAAAGTAGTTGCTTTGAGTCGTCATCCTTAGAGGTGTCTCGATTGGCATTGTGGACGACAACCGGCGCATCGCGATTCTCTGTCGAGCCAAAACGTCTCTGGGCCTATTTGAATGTTAAATCAGCGCTAACGTATAAAAGGACACAACGATGGAAAATAACGAGAGAAAAACAACTAAGTAGAAATCAATGACGGGCATGACTCACAACAATCATTTGATATAGCTCAGGATACTTGTTTTTCACCTCTAAATCACGACTCAACTCTACCATATCCATTCTGCTGATTGTCGAACGACGACTTGTCTCACCACTATCCGATATACCGTAACCCTAAAATGAATCACAATAAGTATACAACATCACGAAAGAATCATTGTGATGACAGAGTTAGTGAGTGATAATAGACAGGGTGAATGGAACACGAGATGCAATGCAGTACGAACCTCTGCCACTCTCTTTCTCTTCCGCTGAAAACATGTGATCGAACAAATCATTGTCAAACAAATCCAACACCTCTATCCATGTCCCTTCTTTATTTCGCACGCATCAATTATCAACATTAAACGCGCGCAATCGATAACTGCTTGGTCCTGAGCGGAATCATTGACGAGCTACCGCTGATGTGGGCTACTAGATGCGAGTCTCGGAATCTCCCGGCTCACTGGCAGATTCGAGTGGTTATGACGCGGGACAGGTGGTTTTTATATGTGGCGAGGAATGTGGATGCCCTCGACCAGTGACATTTCCAATGACACGTTCAGTATTCGATGCAAGTCCGAGAACTCAAGCTCAGCCGGGTGGGTTCCCTCTACATTGATTGGATATGATGATCTGGCCCGTCGTCACTACAACATTTTTACGGGACAAGTTTCTGGAACAGAAAATTCTCTCCACAGAAAAAAAAATGAAATTAAGCAGTTTATCTTCCACCAAATTCCTTTCACGAAGCGATTTCCATTTTTGGGCGAACCGCTCTCTACATTACCCCCTACACACAGCAGACATCGTTCTAAGCCCGCCCCAGATGTCCACGCCCTTTTTGCTATGCACATAAGTTGCACATTATTACACACATAAATTTCATTTTTGTTTTCCACAACTTCACTGAATCTTTCATATATATTGTTGAAGGGCTCTCGTACAATACTTGACTCCGCCCCTGATGATTCAATACCGTTTGCTGCGGATGATGGGGCGTTTCAATGAGGATGGGAGCGGCGCGGTGCCAGAACGTTCTCTACCAGCTGACGAAGTAGGTAAGCAGCAACCTTTAGTGGAAACGACTGTGAAGAACGATACTATTCAGTCATATTGCATGCCAAAATATAATAAGAAAAGGAAAAGAACAGGTTGGCGCTACGCAAAACCTTCCCCCCTGAAACGCCCAATTATCCGCAGCGAACAAGACCCTAGTAGAGTAAGATGATTTTTGTCAGTACTTTTAACGGCGTTTAAGCTTAAATAAATAATAAATAAATAAATAAATAAATAAATAAATAAATAAATAAATAAATATGGGGACCCGCGAAAAAGTAGAGTGATTTCTCCAAGGAACAGTGAACATTTTCTGAAATATAAATGATATTACAGGGATATCTACCGCGAAAAAATACCTAGAGGCAAGATCAAATACTTTAAATTCAATAATAGATATGTTCCTTTCAAAAGAACGCACATATTGTTAATAATGGAAAAAGATGAAAACACGAGAAACGCATAGACATTATTCGCAACTATTATAACGGGCAATCGATTATTTTTGGAAACGTCAGATACAAAAAGTGGAATTGTGTGTATCGTTGACACATTCTCGCAGACACATTTACACCCAATCTTCATTATGGTAATAAAAGCTCAAAAATCAACGTCCTTAAGAGCTAATTAGGGACCATTAATGGTCATCACCTAAGGATCCTTGTGGAGTAATGGAAAGTTCTATACAAGTTATGTTGCAGCCCATTTCCTGGGCTATTTGACAAACCCTGACGTTAAAAGCAACAGAACTGCCGGCTTATTTGATCAAGTCCAGTGCTCCTACCTCCACTTCTGTTCGCCGCATTTCAAATCGCTGAAGGGTGGAGTCGATTGATTTCCATCTAATCTTCTGGCGCACACTCTCCGTTCGATACTTATCCTTTTATTTGTGCTCATTTTCCGATTTCCCTATTACCCTGATTCCAAAGCCGCAAGTATGAACTCGGCGCCTGGAAACTTATGTTACCACTATCGCGATTTCTTGGCTCTGCTCTACGGACAGCCTGAACACAAGCCTTTCCAGTTAGGGTAACTCGTCCGAAATTTCAAATCAGGTCACTAGGAATCTAGCTAAAAGAAAACTTGAGCACTGAACCCAACAATCACGGCCTTACGTAAGCAATCAACTGTAAAGCCTTTTAGTTAATCACTTACCTTATAGTTAGTGATTCGGACGAGTTATCCATTTCGGCAGACACCTACCATTACCTGCCGGAACTCTCGAACGGTAACGTGATCGCGCCAAACGACCGGGTTCCTTTTTTTTGCTCTCGTGCGCGTTTTCACGTCGCGCGTTCCTTGAACAAGCTGACCTCACTAATTCCAACTTTTCAAGCATGATGTGGGGCTCCACCCGGTTTGCTCCTATTGAGGACTCCAAATTCTATTAGTTTGCCAGTTGTTTTTTTGAGGGCTTCGCGATGGGACCATGCCAGAAATCTGGGTATTCAGTCAAGCAACCCTCTGTTACCCCCTCCTCTACCTATTTTCCTCAATAATCTCTCGAAGAAATGAATTAGCTATATGAAAATACAAAACGTGAACTTATTTGAGGTTAAGCTCTGTAACTTGAATAAAAGCTCTCTGAAGATTGGCGCAAATTAACACTAACGAGTAAATCCCATTTTAATAAGGTCCCGGTTACAATTACGGCCATACAGCAAAGACCACGCCACAGAAAGTATTTGCACATAATCTTTTACTAATTATCGAGGCCAAGTACTGCTTAGTGCCTGGCTATTTCGACATGTAAAATAAAATAAATCAGTTCAGGGATTCCCCAACATAAGAAAGAGTTACAAAGAAAGCGTCAGCTAATCCGATGAAGCAAGGCATTTTCGGGGCAGAACAGCCAATGCAGTGAAAATCACGGCAATAGAAGCTGAGGCGTGAGGAGTTTTGTTTAAGCCTGGGGTTCTGGTGTTGATGTACCAGTTCTGGTACTGCTGTAGTTGATGGGGGCGACGCGACAGCGCGAGTTAATGACCTTCTCCCATGGTTCAGGCTCAGTAGAGCACAGACAACTACAGTCTGATATCATCTGAAACGCATGGAGGGAATACGTGTCCGCGTGGCCTCGATCAGCTACAGTACCAAGCGAATTCCTTGGTGTAACAGAGGTTTTTCAGACGACTGGATCAAAATGCACTCTCTGAAGCTAGAAGACAGTTTCAAGGGAAGAGAACTCAAAAAAAAACAAGACAATATATTTATTAAAGGCAGTACCTCATCACTTTCTATTGGAGGATCACCACATTCCGATGTCCTAGAAGAGATGAGCATCGGCGAAGCAGCAACCGATTCCGGACTATAAATAGGTACTGAGGATACGATGAGAGAAGTAGATCACATGTCACAAAAATACTACTTGTTTGGCATGCGCAAGAGAAAGTATACTCTTCGATCTGGAAATTCGGAGAATCGGCGAGCGTCGCATCGGCCCAGTGGGCGAAACTAAGGCAGCGTTCAGACTTCGCAACGGCACGCGCGTTCGACGCGATCGATGCAGTCAAAAGCATGCGCATCGATCGCGTCGAACGCGCGACCGAAGCGCTGCCGTCGCGAAGTCTGAAGCTGCCTAATCGATTTTTATCTATTTCGTTGAAAAGAAAGTACTGCGACACATTGACCAAGTTTTCGGACCAAATTTTCCTTCACTAAGACGTTTCCCCAATCTACAAGGTAATCATCATTAATAACCAGAATTGGTGCCCACTTTTCGCTCATTTTCTCGGTTCCACTCTTATAGAACTACGGCAACTACGATAAAAAAGAGGTGGATCCTCATTTTCGAGTAGACGTCGATTTTCGGAATTTTTGCTTTCTAAAGGATGCGGTAGGGATCAAAGGAGGTGGTAATTAGAGGCTGCTAACTTTGGTCTGTAAGCGAGACATGGTCGCATTCCCTGATCGAGATCCATGATCCTTTGACGTAGCCCGTTCTCTGCGGTCTTCGCATTGCCGAGAAGTAGAAAGAACGTTTTTTTGAATAAATTCAAGGGTGACGTTTTTGATGTCGGTTAGTGTAGACTGTGGCCGCCACTGCTGTGCCAGTACCACTGACATCGCTTCGAAGTCCCAATAACACAGTAAAATTTCTATTCCATGCACAGATTCAAGGGTGACGTTTTCGATGTCGTTTAGTGGACTGTGGCCGCCACTGCTGTGCCAGTACCACTGACATCGCTTCGAAGTCCCAATAACACAGTAAAATCTCTATTCCATGCACATCTGCCTGAGCATGCTACTTATTTCTTTGAGAGATCCTGCGAGGGATATGTGCACAGTTTACGCAAGGACTTCACAGTCGCTACCAACCACAAGATCTCACAAATGTTCTTCCAGTGTGTACAAGGAAAAGAAAACTCAGTCACGACCATTCGGTGCGCTTTGTCAGACTGGTCCAACTCATGAGGCATCCTTCACAAAAATATTCCCTGTAACCGAGATTGCGCAGAAACATTGCAGTAGTCACTTAGGAGTCACGGTTATCTGGTATGACTTGACATCTGGAGACGAGTCCAACACATGAGGCATCCTTCACAAAAAATTTTCCCGATAATCGAGATTGCGAAGAAGCATAGCCGTTGCCACTCACAAGGGAATGTTGGTCTTCCATGAACTTATCAATGGAACCTAGGCTACATCGATAGAGCCTCAAATCTGGATACGAATAGCCAGATGAAATGCCTACGACCCTTCCACACGAGATTGGTCTGTCATAAGTTGAGTCTGGCTCGTAAGCGCTGCTGATCGATACCTCGACAGTGCCACCGTGGCCTCGTGGTAATGGTCTCGCTTTCAAGTCAAACGCATGCGGGTTTGCATCGTCGTGGCGGCTAAATTTTTGCTCGCGCTCCGTGATAAGAGCTTCAACTTAATTCGAATATTCTTCCTTACTGCTAGCAGCAGTAGATCAAGCACATCAAGATACGATACTCGATCTAGTATGGATTTGGTCATACCTGCCCCTCTGAACATATTACCCATCCGACAATTCAAAGTTTGCAAGATCGCAATTTACAAGGACGAGCGTTTTCTCGAAGATGTTATATCTGTCAGGCGGTCGAAATTCCTATGAACGAATTTCTGCAAAACTTTAATTGCGCATGGGTAACTGTTCAAGAGCAATATACCATCATCCATACTACATCAAGTACGTCGGGCTATACTTGATACTGATCTACTTGCCTCTCAGAATTTTCGAAAAGTGAACAATTCAAAATTAGAGTTGAAGCTC